GGGGGGGGGGGGGGGGGGGCGGGGAAACTACTCGGGCTAGACCGGTCAAGTGACCTTTTAGGAAACCAACTCTAGACATCATTACATTCACAGCTTCACACTCTATATTTATAGACGCAACTCCACTCTCTTAAAATATAAACATTAAAATTATCCGGGAAAAGGGTAAAAGGCCATCTGGCTGAAGAATCAAATCAAATCAAATCAAATCCTCAAGTCAATGAATCGTCCAAGAATGCTGTCAAGCAAAAAGCTGCCAAAGAAGAAAAGAAGAACAAAAAGGTATATAACTAAGTGGATCGAAGCAAATCAAAGGTCGTCAACGTGCGGATACGTTAATCGTCAAGGAAAGTCAAGAATGGACAATGTGACAATATGGAGAAGAGAATGGGTGGCCATCTGATGGTCGGATGCTGGAGGGTGCCTTACAGCTGCAAGACAGCAACAAAAACACCCAGCATTATAGCGAACAGCGAAACAGTGGTTGTGGCTGCACCACTGTCACTGTTTTCAGTGCTGTCTTGGGTCGTCGAAGAAGTAGGACTGGCTGTCTGTACAGCAGGCGTTGCAGATACAGCTGCAGCCGTTTCCGACTCGATGAAAACATGCGGCTCATATGTGTAACTGGCCGATGCAGAGCGAATGCTGGTCGACATGCCAATCGAGATACCCAGATCCAAACTCAGGAAGGGAGTGTTGCTTGCCGATTGCTGCGTGGTGGTGGAGACAGACGAGCTGGTAGATGGCGACGAAGAGCTGGTGCTGGAAGTCGAACTGGAAGTGCTTGTCGGAATAGCCACCGTGGTGGACGACGAGGTATCATCGTCATCGCCAATGAAATCCTTTTCCCAAACGACAACGGTAGCCTTTTCGCCCTTGGGAACGGTCACCACACAGAAGGAACCACCTCCGGCACCATCTGTAGTAGTTTCGCCAGTGATTTCATTAACGCCGTTGCTGCTCGGGTCGATCTTGCAGGGAAGCCCTTCACAGTTGTCGCCTTCACATTGAATCTCAGCACCAAAGCCAGGGACGATGTCACGAAAAGGTGTAGCGGGCTCGAGATAGACCGGGTTCCAGCCAAGCTTAACGAAGGTACGGCCATCTTTGTCAGTGTTGGCGCCAACCACGTAAGGAGACCAGTTGCCGTATGGGTTGGACGAAGTGCCCCAGGCACAAGCGATTTCGGATTGAACGCCTGGTGGGTTGATATAGAAGCTGACCTGTTAGTATTCGATTGTTGAGCAAGAACAAACGGATAAACTTACTGAGCGGAGGTCTCACACCAATAGTCAGGGTCTGGTACAGCGAGAGTGGCCAACTCGTTGACCAAGGTCGGGATTAACATGGCTTCGTTCCCGGGAAGCACTGTTTGGCAGAAGGAGACTGGCGACCTGCACTTGTTCTGGACACTCACGGCACCAGTTCCGTCCTGACAGTAAGCCCTGTCGGGGAATGGCTTCTGGATTTCTCCGTCCTCATCGCAATAGAGACCGCCATTCTATGCCAGTCAGCTCTTGTTTTACCCTCATTTGAGCATTCACCTACCATCGACATCGGATACGAGTACGAAGTAGCCTTAGGGTCCCATTGCATAGACATCTGTCCCGGAGGACAAGCGTACGGACAATAGTTGCCCGGAGTACACGACTCATCCGGACTCATAGCCCAACCCTCATTGACAGCGCCTGGAGTGACGGCGACCAACCCGGCATCGGAGGGAAATTTGCATTTTCCAGACTTCTTGACAAGCGACTCCTTCACTTTTCCGTCGTTGTGGATGCGGTTGTGTGCATGGTTGTTGTGATGGGCGGCTTCGGCGCCGGCGAGGAGACAGAGGAGCGCGAATGCGCGCGAGGATGCCATCTCGAATCTCATGGTGGGATTTGCGATTCTCTAGTATATATACTCGCTTCGGTCTTTACCCTCGGAATATGAGGATGGGCGAATGGGATCGACGGATCAACCAGAACGCAACGAACGAAAGACTAAGGTCAGTAAAAAAAGCACAACAACCGCAAAGACCAAAGACCAAAAAGACCACAGAAAAAAGAAAGAAAAAGAGAGAGAGAGAAGAAACGTCGGGGGTGCAATATAAAAACAAGCACAAGAAAGAAATTAAAGAAAACAGGGACCAGCCCACCTACAAAGCCACCTTAACCCAAACAGGACCCAACGTCGAATAATGACTTTCCTAAACGGGCTAATAATGAGGCTAAATTGCCCTATCCATGATTCCCCGCTACACCATTGGCAGGCTAGAATACGCTAATCCAGGGGTCTGCCAATGGGGTTCCGCGGAGGCATCGCTGGTTCATAGGGTGTGCGAGGCTAATCTCCGACAGACCAATGGGCGATGCCTCCTATCATGGAGCTGTCAGTGTCGTTGTTTACTACTATCGCGTGGATTGCTTACTTTTGGCTTAACGGTGAGTGAAAGGAACTACGGAATAGGGGTCAGCTATGCACGGACGGGTTTGCATAGACTGAATCGGATGTAACTCGAAACATATTCGAGCATCACAGCAATGCGCAGTTCGTATAGCCGAGTAGGATTGGATTGTTAAACTAGCAGAAGAACCTTGCTACCGCCTACCTAGCATGCATACGAACAACTGCACTGGTTGCTCTGTAGGCAAGTGAGTGATGGAAGCAGTCGACCGAGAGGTACAAAGTACTTGTATGGCATTAATCCCTACACTATGTCCAAAGTACCATCAACCCCTCCACGCCAGAACTCCGATCGCCTCCGAATCTCCATCCTCCAAGACGCAGGCCACTCTTACCAATAAATAGTCGCCCACCTCGGCGTAACCCACAACCAAGGCGAATATACCTGCATAAACCGGAAACTCACGCCTCGGAAGGCCCGCGGGAGACTATTCAAAACTATCCGATGACAAGGTCGATGGGATTATCGCCTGGTACACGGCCTCCGAGGAAAATCATAGTCTGCCCTATCGTAGGGTGATTCAGGAGTTTGGGCTGGGAGTTTCTGAGGATATACTGGTTCCTGCGCTTAGGAAGAGGGGGTATTGGCGTCGTAAGGCTATGGGGAATGCGAAGAAAAAAGTAACTGTATTGAGGACTAGTAGCGGATCGGGGCCGGCGCGTGAAGCGCCAGGGACAGTTACTTGATGGTTCCGCGAGATTCGCAGATGATGGGTAGCAGTAGTACAGAGTGGGTTAGATTAGCAGGTACATCACAATTAAATCCTTTGAAAAACCCGGAAATTCGGATTCTTGATGCTTTGGGTTCTATTGACCACCGAACTTTGAACGCGGATCTATGCGCCGTAGCCGATGCGATTCTACCGAGACTAGTCCTTTATACTTCCGCTAAGGCCTCTATCCTACGAAGTACACGCTCGGAATATATCCATACATCCGTCAATGTACAGTCCAGCTCAGCACTATTCCTGCTCTTGAACATCCCCCCAACAATCAAACACCTCCCCCCTCCATCCCCAAGCAACACAATAATGCCCCGCCAACAACTTCCACTCCTCCATCTCGTCCAACATCTCTAAACCTGCAACCCTCTCCTTCTCCTCCTCACTCACCCACCGCTCCCATATAAAATCAATATCAGCAGCCGCCTGCCCCCCCTGGAAACCCTGTTCTTGTAGCCTCCTCCGCTGCGTCTCCAAGCTAGCGTACTTATTCAGCGTCTGCAGATGGATACCCCGCGTTGCGAGATTGGATACCATTATCCGGCCGAAGGGGTCGTCGGGGCGGATGGGTTCGTAGATTATCAGACCCAACGGTGTAGTTGGTGGGAAGATGGTGGTTGTGAAGTGGTGGACGACGGAGTCTGCTTGGTCGGGGGGGAGATAAATGAGGCAGCATTCGGAGATGAGGAGGGTTGGGAGGGCTGGGTCGATGTCTTGGAGCGTGGGGATTGGGTCCGGTGTGGACTTGGATAGTAAGCGTAGGTCGAGGGGGTGGATGTGGTAGCGGGGTGAATGGAGTGCGTCTCCGGTATCTGAGATCTCTATGTCGTTTGGTACCCCGGGGCTAGAGGCATTCCTTAATGCTCCTTGTAAAGCGGGTGATGAGTGGATAGCCTTGATCTTGGTTGCGGTGTTGGCTGGAAAGTCGATTTCATGGTATACCAGATCGGAGCGCGGTGTTGTCGAAGAAAACAATCGAAAAACACGCGTGTCTGTGCCTGCTCCCAGCGAAATAATCTGCTTCTTCGCATGCTGTTCTGTATACGACTCGACAAATTGAGAGACAAGACAATCAATCGCAGTCGTTCGAACGTACGTTCCTATCCATAACCATTCCCAATTAGCCAACTGCCATCCCACCTCACTCATCCGTAGAACCACGCACACACCTCTGTTGATAATAGGGAACCTCCTCGTCTCTAACCCAGCAGGCGTCAATGGCTGCGCGAACCGATCCTCGATATATCCCAATTGCACTGCGCTTAGCCGCGACACACTGGCGTCGTTATCTGTGTTTTGTACCACGCGGTCTTTGGAGGCTGATGATGCGTCGGGACCGACCCCGCCACCACGAGATCGGAGGCGACCTGGAGCTCCCCTTTTTCGGAGGCTGTTGAGGTTTGGGATTTGGGGTGCGGACATTTTAGAGGGATTGTGCTTCTCTCTTAGGAGAGTGGAAGGTCTTCGTGGGGAATTTTGTGAGGGGAGATCTTCCCCGCAGCGGTGACATAAGAGGTCGCGCTGAATTGTTGTCTCTCTTATCTATCTAGCTACACAAGTCTAGCAATACAACGATATACATAAACTATACAACTGCCCAGAAACGCTTTTATACATAAACAAAGTTGTTCCGACACAGCGGACAAGTACTTTGGTTGCTGCTCTTGAACCACCGGAACAAGCAAACAGAGTGGAAGGTGTTCTTACAAGTAGCGCACCGCTTGTTCGGGGTCTGCATGTCCGTCGAGATGACCGAGTAACAGATCGCGCACTCGCTCTGTCCCTTAAGCGCTCCCTGTACGTTGCGTCGGAATGCCATCAATCCATCTTCAAGGTTGCCATTGGCAAACATGATGACTCCTTGGATTGTGAGCAGCCAGCTCTTCCACTTTCTCTCATCGACCAGGACGCGACTCCGGCTGACGACTAGGGCAGGCTGAAGAGGATAGGCGGGAGGTAGAGAGAGGGAGATAGCGACAGGTGGTGATTCTTCATCGACTTCGATGCTTGCGATGATCTCCGCTGTCTTGGGGGAGATCTTGACAGCCAGTGCCCGTTCTTCGTTGGGATCCTGTGTTGAAACCCAGTCCGAGACACCGCGAAGAGAGTCTTCAATAATCAAGGGAGAGATGTATTTCTCTGTCCAGGCTTCCACTGGTCCCTTGATGCGCTTCTTAGCATCGATCCACCAGTTCTTGGTCATGTTGGCCAAGTGCCTCAAGCACAAGAAGTACAGGTGGATGAGAAGCCACTGTGTTTCTTTCTCCGCAGTCTCCGCCTGGTCAGGTTCGAAAGTGCGAATGTCGAATTTGGAAGCATCGACAATCTTTCCATGTGATTTCTGAAGGAAGTCGAAGATGAATTCCAGCAACGGGATCAAACTGTCATTTTCCTTGATGTTTGTGACGTAATTTTCTTGCAGAGCAAAGGACTGTTGTCGATGTTAGCACATGTAGTTATTGATTAGACATAGACGAGGAAAGATACCGCGTTGGTGAAGTGGTCAAACACCACCTTCCAGCTGAGTAGATATGACCGAATGCCAGTCCACATCTTGTCCTCCCCATCGGAATTATTGATCGATTCCATTGTCGGGGCTTCCAAGAGCAAAGACAGTAGCTCAAGGGGAAGTCTCGCGGTGGACTTGGACAAGGCGACATCAAACGACACCTGCTCTTGAACCTCCGGAATGTACCGATGAAGCACAATATAAGCAGCACGCTGGACGGTCCGGCTTTGGGCAGTCAGAAGAGGGAATATCTTGTTTACATGTTCCAAGCTCTTGATTGGAATAGTGTTGAGCAAACTGCACAGAAGCTCGACGGTCACATCACGAGGTTTATGGAAGGTGGTTGAGGAGTCTATTGTTTGTTAGTCAACCAAAAGAAAGAAGGCAAACCAGTACTCACCGAACTTCCTGAGGGTCGATGTTAAGTTATTGAAAAGAGTCGTCTTGCGATCAGACCAAGCATCCTTGACATCGTCATTGCTCTCCTCGTTATCCACTATCAATTTCAAACATGCAAAGAGTCTGTACGAAGTCTTCAGCACCGGTAGACTCTCATCGCCGCCGCCTGTTTCTCGCCAGGTCGAGCTTAAGATCTCCATACTATCTTCCCAGTGCGAACCATAAATTTCGCTTAGACAAGGAAGCACGAAAGTCAAAGTACGCATGATCTCCGCTTTGAGTCCTTGGGACTTGATCTCGGACTGGAGGCATGACATAAGATGCTTGACCAGGAAGACCAATCGCTGAGTTGGGATAGATGAAGCCACGCTTTGTCCCTCTGCAAAGAGAAGATTAAGCAATACCAATTTTCGAAGACCTGTCATGTATTAGCAAAAGATAGTAAAGTCCAGAAATTCCATGGCGACTGACCATCCTTCCGCTCATCTTCAACTTTGAGTCCTGTAGAATCGGCAACGAGCTCATTGCACAGTCGTGTTCCGGCAGGGTTTGATACCACAGCTTGCCGTAGAACTCCCATCCAGGCGGCAGAGCGAATGGCATTTGCAGTCCGCGTGTCCCTGCATAGTTGAGTGACATCTTCCGGCCATTTGTTTGTCTTCGACGAGTCCGCGCCGGCCATGACCTTCACAAATGCCTCGCCGATCCGGTAGTTCACTGGTGAACTACTGTCAAGCTTCTCCAATTTGCTTATCCAGGATGTGATTACTCTGGATGAGACTGTTTCATCACCGATCTGAGTGTTCGACTGTATCCACTCGTAGATGACTTCCCTGCCCTCTTTCACAATTTCCAAGTATTCCTCTCGTTGCTCTGCTAGTTGAATTCCAGTTATGCCGTTGCATTTCTCAATGTTCAAGTCGTCTTCAACAAGCTGTATAGCCAAGGGTAAGTTGTAGAACAAGACCTCAAACTCTTTCGCGCCGAGATGCTCCGTGACTGCAAACGAAGACAAAATCTTGGTTGTAAAATAGGATAGACGGAATGCAGCAGAACAGTGACTGGCATCACGCGAGATACTGTTATACTGTTCCCAGAACGACTCGGGTAGCTCACGATCGATGAGATGTATTGTACCCCCAATGGGATTTGTTATAGCAGTCGAGGACCGAGGCGGCAGCTGAAGGAACGGTTCCAAAGCCTTCTCCCAGGATTGAGCTGAAGGAAGTACGCTCTTTGTCGTCTGATTTGCTTCCTCGGGTGTGAGGTTCTGCAGCAATTCCTCCGCGATGCTCAGCAAGGACTCGATCCTGCAAGGAGTTAGCAACATAGATGCCTTTGTCTAATTAGAAGGAAGAGGGCACCCACGAAAGTGATTCTTCGTTAACGTGATCGAAATTGTGTTGGAGGATTTCGATATTTGACTTGTTACTTGTCTCACCCATCACAGTCTCCTTCAATGTGTTGGTCAGAGACTCAGCAAGGTCTCCTACCTCTTCGTCACCAGATTCCGAAAGGAAAAGAAGCTTGCCAGCCAGTTTGGAGCCATTGGCTCCACTCTGAAATTTTACTATGGCAGCTGGGACAGACATTGCAATCTGGGAGAGCCCGTCCAAGGTATCAACCACTCTGTCTTCAGCGGACAATGAATCAATGATGGACAAGAAAATAGAGTCCGTCAATTCGCCATGCGAAGTGGGATTCTGAAGAACCGCGATGACAATTGGCCAGTGAAAACCACTGCCCTTGCAAGCTCTGTCTAGTGCCCGCATAATCAACAAGTTCAATCCAGACTTATCACCAATATCCTTGAAGTCAAGAGTCGCTAACAGCCTCTGGAGAACAAGTGCATTCGACTGCTCGGGCTCGAGCTGGATCACTTGCTCGATAATTTTCTCGAAACTAGAGCCATATCCATGCCAAGAGCGACAAGACAAAATAATGGTAATTATGCGATCCGCAGAGGGCGAGAACAATAGCTCCGGTGCATCATCTTGGACAAACTTCAAGAGTTCTTTTGACTGCCGAGCAATCTGGGGGATATGTCGGACTGATTCTTCAACAACCGCAGCTGCTCCATACGGCTTGCCATTCCGAGTCCGGAAGACATGCAAGCAACTGTCAAGAAGTGGCAAATTAGTGGTTTCGAAGACCTTAGAAACTCCGGTTTCGTATTTTGTGGCTGATACCCGCATGAGTGTTGCAGATTCCAAGCCAAGAAGACGCTGGGCTTGGGTGCAAATCGCGTCTTGCGATGCTTGGAAATCCTTTGACTGCTCCGGAGAAGACAATTTGACCGATTCAAGCAGGCTGTCTGATAGACCCGTCCACAAAAGGTGCAATTCATTTTCATAACCGTCCTTGGTCAAGGTAACAATGTAATCGGCACAAACGGATTGGGCCATTTGAGAAGGTAATGACCATCGAGATTGGTTTGGATCAGCTTGTACATGTTGCACCAGTATTGGAGACAGCCTTTCTTGAACAAGTTTTGTTCTTTCGGCTTCTGGGATGATCTTCGCCAGCCATATTCCCGTGTTGATATACGATTTCCACCCTGCTGCTTGGTTCTGTCGAGGCTCTTCTCTGGAATTCAACCCCTCCTGGAATGCTTCCAACAGGGCAATGGCACTTGATAACCCGATACCGTTCTCAGTAGTAGTCTCTGGGCGGATATCCGCAAGTGTCTTCAACGGGACGGCTTGCAGTAAATGATAAAGGTTCGGCCAAAAAGAGCTTTGCCCACTCTGAGATCCCTTCTGGATGTACTGAAGTAACCTTTTTGTGGGTGAAGTCTTCCCGGCGTAATCTTCTGTCCATAACTGAGATCTTGCGGATGTTGATTGTAGCAACGATTCGGACAACTCTGTTGAAGCTCCCACTTGCGCTATAGACAAGGATTTCCCAATAAGGGCCGTACTTATGATTTTCCAGTCAAGTTCTTCAGGAATTCTCGCAACAGCTGACCGAAGAAGAGCATAAAGAGAGCGACGAACAAATGCGTCTTCGTTAGAGCACAATGACCACAATGACTTGCTACTGAGCAAGATTTCAATTGCAGGAAGATCTTTTTCAAGTTCTTCGCGTGGTGTGTTCCCTACACAAACGAGTCAGAATATACGCAAATTTCTATCTCTGGAGCATCGTGACTGACCTATGATGCGGTTTAATAACAAGATTGCTGTTGCAGCCACGCGAGCATATTTTGCTTGAGCATCGTCCGATTTCACGGTCCGCTCATCACTCAACGTCTGAGGAGTCTGTTGGAGAATGACATCGTCTACAAACTCAAGGATCGAGCTTTGATAGATCTTCCATACACCAATTCTCTTCTCATCAGTCGTGAATACCCGCGTGAATGACTCTACAGCAGATCGCTGAACTGGTCTATCATTGTCATAAAGCCCTGCGATCCATGCCCCAATCACCTTGGGTAAATAGCGAGCAATCCGCTTCCCCACAAGAGAGGCCACGGTGCCCTGGATTGTATGGGATAGTTGTCTCGCTCTACGAGAAAGGTCAATCGATGCCCGTGGGTAGATTTTGATCTGCAGGAACAGTGTCACCAGGCCGTTCCAGTTTGTATGTCACAAGGTGTCTACATACCCATGCCTCTAGGAAACCATCATCCAGTGTCCCACTGCGCGCTTCCACAGAGGAAATGTAGTCGTTCAAGTCATCTAACGACTTTGTTCTTGTGACTTCATCTTTCTTCAAAAAGTTCTTGAATGCAATCGCCAGTTGCGGCTCCGATATCCGCGAAAGATCCGGCGGTTCGGCCACATATGTTAAGGAAGACGGCTCTCTTCCTGCACCGGATGTAGATGAAAATCCACCAAAGGATCCAAATGTGCTGGCTGCAGCACGACTGCTCGAAGCTTGCGACTTGAACTTTTTGCTCATAATGTGGGGGAGTTGGAGTAATAAGTTATGCGTAAAAAGATCGACGGGAATGGGCGAGAAGAAGCGCGGAAATGGCGTGCGGCTAGCCTGGCCTCTCTGAGCAGTTAGACGAATAGTTTTTCACCTCCAAACAACCCTGCTCAGACCTGATTTGGTGTCTTTCTGGATTGTATCCCATCCCAAGGCGGCGGGAACTGCTGGATTAGTTATCGATAGCGGTCACGTGGGCTGGTGTCATCGGATCGCCCAAAGTGGAAAAGGCCGACGCGATCTCGCCGCGGTTTGAGAGAAAGTCAGAAAGCTTTGGCTGCTTCTGTCGACGATCCTCGTCCACCGGCCACCATGAAATTCTTCATCGAGTGAGTATCTGCACTGAGAAACTACTGCGAAAGGTGCCAACAGCCACTAACTGTCCTATCTTCCAACAGTGATCTTCCCGTGCTGTTCCCTTATCCTCGTATATACCCTGAACAATATGCCTACATGTGCGATCTCAAAAAGACCCTTGATGCCGGGGGTCATTGTGTGTTGGAGATGCCTTCGGGCACAGGGAAAACGGTTTCCCTGCTTTCGTTGATTATCGCCTACCAGCAACATTACCCGGAGCATCGAAAACTGATCTACTGCTCCCGAACCATGTCCGAGATTGAGAAGGCCTTGAGCGAGCTGAAAGCGTTGATGGAATTTCGTGCCCAGCAACTAGGATATACGGAAGACTTTCGAGCTTTGGGGTTAACGAGTCGAAAGAATTTGTGTCTACATCCGTCTGTCAAAAGGGAGAAAAGTGGTACAGTTGTCGATGCGAGGTGCAGGAGCTTGACGGCAGGGTTCGTAAAGGAAAAGAAAGAGAAGGGAGAAGACGTTGATCTTTGCACATATCATGAGGTACGTTCATGTCGATAATTGGTTTTTGATCATCTTACTGATTTGCGCTTGCTTTTAGAACCTAGATCTCCTCGAGCCGCACAACCTCGTTCCACCTGGTGTATTCACCTTGGACGGACTTCTAAGATACGGAGAAGAGCACAAGCAATGTCCCTACTTTTCGGCACGGCGCATGGTAAATTATTCCAGAGCCTTCCGTTTTATTTATGTTTCTGACACGATCTTCTTACCAGATGCCATACTGTAACGTTATCATTTATTCCTACCACTACCTCCTCGACCCCAAGATTGCCGAACGAGTGTCCAGAGAGCTCTCTAAAGACTGCATCGTAGTCTTTGACGAAGCCCACAACATCGACAACGTTTGTATTGAATCACTCAGTATTGACATAACGGAGGATTCGCTGCGCAAAGCCACAAGAGGTGCCAACAACTTGGAACGAAAGATACAGGATATGAAGAGTTCGGATGCAGAAAAACTCCAAAATGAATATTCAAAGCTTGTGGAAGGTCTAAGGGAAGCAGAACAGGCAAGGGAAGAAGAACAGTTCATCTCCAACCCTGTTCTTCCGGATGATCTGCTCAAAGAAGCCGTGCCAGGAAACATACGACGAGCGGAGCATTTTGTCGCATTCCTTAGACGGTTCATCGAATACCTGAAAACGCGAATGAAAGTCACGCACACAATCTCCGAAACACCGCCTTCATTTTTAACTCATGTCAAGGACTTGACTTTCATCGAGCGGAAACCTTTGCGGTTTTGCGCCGAACGACTTACTTCGCTGGTACGCACGCTGGAGCTAATCAATATAGAAGATTACCAGCCTCTCCAAGAAGTCGCGACATTTGCGACTTTGGTTGCGACTTATGACAAAGGGTTCCTTCTGATCCTTGAGCCATTTGAATCCGAAGCAGCTACGGTTCCAAATCCCATATTGCATTTCACTTGTTTAGATGCCGCAATTGCGATCAAACCAGTATTTGAACGCTTCAGCTCCGTCATCATCACTTCTGGAACCTTATCTCCCCTTGAGATGTACCCTAAGATGCTAGGGTTCGATACCGTTATGCAAGAATCATACAGCATGACCCTTGCACGGCGGTCTTTCCTTCCAATGGTTGTCACCCGTGGGTCCGATCAAGCGCAGATTTCATCGTCATTCCAAATACGCAATGATCCAGGTGTTGTGCGCAACTATGGAAATCTTCTACTCGAGTTCTCCCGCATCACTCCCGATGGAATCGTCGTTTTCTTCCCGTCTTACCTCTACATGGAGTCGATCATCAGCATGTGGCAAGGAATGGGTATCCTGGACTCGATATGGAACTACAAGCTGATCCTTGTTGAAACCCCCGATGCCCAAGAGTCATCCCTCGCTTTGGAGACCTACCGAACAGCGTGTTGCAATGGTCGTGGCGCTATCCTTCTCTGTGTCGCCCGAGGAAAGGTCTCAGAAGGGATTGATTTTGACCACCACTACGGACGTGCAGTCCTGTGCATCGGCGTTCCATTCCAATACACCGAATCTCGCATCCTGAAAGCACGTCTAGAGTTCCTACGTGAAAACTACCGTATCAGAGAAAACGACTTCCTCTCCTTCGACGCCATGAGACACGCTGCCCAGTGTCTGGGTCGTGTCCTGCGTGGCAAAGACGACTACGGAGTCATGGTTCTGGCAGACCGTCGATTCCAGAAAAAGCGAACGCAACTCCCCAAGTGGATCAGTCAGGCCATGCTGGAGAGTGAAACGAACCTCAGTACAGATATGTCCGTCGCGACTGCGAAGAACTTCCTGCGCACGATGGCCCAGCCTTTCAAGTCCAGGGATCAAGAGGGAATTTCCACCTGGAGCATGGCAGATCTGGAGCGTCATAAAGAGAAGCAAAGGGTGGAAGAGGATAGAGCACGGAGGGAAGAGCTTGCCAATGCACACCAGATGAATCATGGTCAGAATGGTGGTGTTGTTCGCGAGGAATTTGACGATGATATTGATGAAGATCTCATGATGATGGACGCAGAGTGATCGTGGTCTCTGGGAGAATAATAATCCTTTTTGATTCATTTTGAGCGACGGCTATTAGAGGCGTTTTAAATTTTATAGCATACTGCAGCCAGTGATACCACAGTCGTTTAATATTAAAATTGGGCATGGGCATCTATTCTCTAAAATCATAAATGACTTTTTTCTAATTTCCGCTAAGAAAACTCCGTATCATATAAGACAGGTCAAATACACATAATCGAAATCTGCAAACATATACAAAAATAATAACAGTAATAGCGTATAACACATTCAAAACACCATCCACCACCTTAGGCTACAGGAGCAAGAACATCAAATCCGCCAGTACCGACAGTACCAGAACGACCAGTAACAATCCTACTACTGGGAGAAGCGAGGTTATCGAAATCCCTCTCAAGCACAGCATCCTTCAGGAAGCCAACTGTAGTCTCGAAACTCATCTTCGCCAACGGCGACGAGCTATCCTTCACGAGACCATTCCGGTTGAACGCCCGGAAGTCACCAGACTGCGTCATCACATCACCAATCAGGTTCAGATGGCGGTTGTCGACGGAGATACTGTGACCCTCGAAAACGTCAGACATTTCACGGACAATGGATGCACGCGCGGCCTCGACACCGTACAGCTTGAGCATGTGGTGAATCGAGTTGGTGTAGAGCGAGTGCGGCTTGATGATGTCTTGGTAGTCGCGCATGGCAAGCAGGTTGACACCATCTGTGATGACATGTGCGGGCTCGCCCTTGACCGGGTCAGCTTCGACAAAAGTGCAGTCACCAAGGCCAGGGATGGATTGGATGACGGCGTTGCGGGCGGCATCTTCGACCAGGGGGAGGAGGAGGAGCTTAGGGGTAGAGATGTCATATTGGAGCTGGACGGTGCAGGTGATGCCCTTGTTGGGGTTGAACTTGAATTGGGTGACTTCGGCGTATTTGCCCTTGATATCGTCCTCGCGTTTGATTTGTTCGTCTGTGTCAGCATCGTCGTCTGCGGCGTCTGTCATCTCCACGTCTTGCTTCCTGGTCGAGGGAGCGCCGGTGTTGTCTTCGTCGTCTTCGTCGTCTTCCGAGGCGTCTTGCTGGCGAACCATGTCTACTTCGTCCTCTTCGGGACCTTCGTAAGAGACCTGGTTCGAACGGTTCTGACCACCCCTGGCACGCTTAGCGTCGTCCTCGTCGTCTTCGACATCATCATCGGCGGGTTCATCTTCACGGTCAGGGCCCTGAGCCTGTTCGATGGTGCCAACAGACACACCAATTTCAGGCTGGGCAGCAGAGTGACTCTTGATTGATTTTTCGTCAATACGCTTCTTGAGCTCGGCCCGGGTGGACTTCACAAGCTTGGGGATGAACTTCTTCTGCAAAGTGTTCTGCATGTCCTTGGTGTTGATGGCGTATTCCGCGGTGTACTCTTCGGGCGGGAAGAAAGTCACCTCGACATCGTAGACCTTCGCCTTGGCGTAGCCCTGGCCGGCGGCGATTCTCTCCCTAACCTGAACCTTGTCAACAACCTCAGCGACACTGAGTTTGCTGATGGCCTTGGCGAATCGCTCAGCCTGTTCCTTGGGTATCTCCTCGTTAAGGATGAGCGTCATGGTGGGTGTCATGATGTTTGCGCTAGCTGTCATGACGATTTCACGTAAACGGGGAATACCCAGGGTGACATTCTTTGCTGAGTGACCAGCCAAATGGAATGTGTTTAGTGTCATTTGAGTGGAAGGTTCACCGATAGACTGGCCGGCAACGATACCAACGGCCTCCCCAGGATCCACGACGGACTTCAGATACTTCATGTTCATCAAGGTTTCGAAGGCCTTCTTGCTGATCACACCGTCAATATGGGTCTTCTTGTCGCGCAAAAGCTTGTCGGGATTGTTGTCCTCGTACTGTGTGGTTATTCAAGTTAGCTATGCGTAAATTAATTCCTTCTAGGAAGTTATCCTTACATTCTTGAGAGCCTGCGAAAACGATTCGGACGTACTTCCGAAGTTGCCTCCTGGGTGATAGTGGGCCAGCACCGGGTCCTTGGCATCAAGCTTGCCTTTGCGGACATTCTTCATCGCAGATTTATGCCAATCAGTAACTTCAGATTTC